TTCGTTTAGGAAGTGGAAATCTTGAAAATCAACAGAGTTTTAATTGGATCAAAATTTAAATATAAAGTTGAAGCTTTGATCCACTACTTACAATGCACAAAATGTCATTCATCTAATTTTTTTTAAAATTTCTGTTATAATTTAAATTATTTAAAGTTTATAACAAATATAAAAAAATTGGTATTTTATAATTTAAATAAATTATATTCTATGAACTATTTAATTTACATACTAAGTAACTTTTACCTAATCTTAGTGTTTAAATAATTCTTAATAAAAATAATTTATGATTATATGATTACTTATATTTTCTACTTCAACCTTTATTTTATATTTATAATATAATTATTATCTTGTGAAATATATTATCCTTATAAAATCAATTTTAATTTAACATAATTTTACCTTCAGAAATTTCTAATTCATCTTGATCTTCTGAATGAAGATTTGGATTATTACATATTTCTTCATCTATAAATTAAAATTATTGAAGTATATAATTGGTAATAAAATAATCTAAATAAAATTATTTACCGTCATCTAAAATATGTCTTGTTTGTACATATGGTATTTCAATTTCATTATTTGTATGATTAACACAAATTTCTAAATCAAAATATTATTTAATCTTAAATATTTAAAAGGTTTTATTTATTTAAATAATTACCTTTATCATTAATTAGTTTTGTTTTTTTAGATTTTACGTTATCTATTTAAAATTTATTATGATAAGTATAAACTAATAATAATAATAATTATAATAATAAATGAAAAAGCTATTACCATCCGAATCATATGAATAAATCCTTTTAGATTTACCCATATTTATATCTTTCAGTATAAAATTACGTAAAATGTTAATTATTAAATATTATAGACTTATCGTTATAGTAACGCAAAATCTCTAAGAATGATCTTCAATAAATAAATAATTAATGAATCAATCTTACCATCTGGAATATTAAGACTATTTTGCTTACTATCATTACTCTCATAACCTAATTTTAAAAAGGAATATATTAGAATAAAAATTAAGTGTGATCATTATTATTTTAAAAATTTTTAAATCAATCCAATAATAAAATAAATTTAAAAATTAGAAATCATTAATTAATACAAGAATACAATTATTAAATTACCTTCAGTCGAATTTCTTGGTTCAGGTAAATCTTTGAAAATATGAACTTTACTAAATTTTCTAACTAATGAACTAATAGAAGTAGAGCTGATATTAGATGCTACATTTGATTGTATACCATTAATATTAATGCCAGTTTCTTCATTTTCATTTTGATAATATGGCATTAGTATTTCTAAAACTTTATCTAAAATGGTATCAATGTCGGGTCTTTTCAATGGATCAGCATCCCAACATTGGTATCATTAAATTTTTATATTCTTCCAGAGTTCCTGATACTACCTTTGGCCTCATCCCATTCATTATTTTCATCACAAGGTCATAATCATGATCAAAATCAGCTAATGGTGATTGTCCAGATGAAATCTCCCACATAAGCATACCAATACTATAAATATCTGATGCAAAAGTATATCTTTTTCCAAAAATAACTTCGGGCGCTATATAAGGAAGATTTCCATATATACTTCCTAATGGTTTTTCAACAGGGCCACAAAATCCAAAATCACTAATTTTCCACGTATTATTTAATTTATCATATAATATATTTCCTGAATGCAAATCTCTATGAATAGAATTTTCCATATTAAGTTTACTTATTGCTATAATTATGTATGCAAGTATATTAATTCGTTGTTTCCATGCAAGTTGATTACGACTTTGCTGTAAATATGTTCTTAAATCATTATCATATGAAGCCATTACAAGAAAATAATCTTTATTTAATGGATCCTGAGTAAGACCAAAACTTTCAACGAAGGATCCTGATTTAGTGCTTAATGTTAATTGAGTTTCAGCCTATAAAACATAATTAATTATTTTGTTTAAACAAATTCAATTATTAATTCTTATAATTACTTTTAAAATCACATACCTCTTCAAACCAGGTTCTACTAGCACTTTTAATATTTTCTAATCTTTTGAGTATTACACTAGCCATTCCAAATCTTTTTAATTTTTGTTTGATTGGATCCCATTCATTATAAGGTCCATTATTCCAAACTGCTTTATAAATTTCGGAGCAACCACCTTTAGTTAAATATTCAATATTTTGTATAGTATTATATGGAATCCATTCAACTATTCTATATCGAATAACCGTTTCCGACTGACAATCCTGTATTAAATTGTCAATTTTATTATTTCCTGATGTCCATTCTGAAAATTTTGCTATTAAACTATTTCGAATACAATTTTCACAAAATGTTGTTGCTAAACATTCTTGTTTGCAGTTTTCACAAACTCTTTTTATTCCTTGATTAAAAGTAATTTTGTTATAGTCATTATCTTCCATTAATACTCTTATTGCCTCTGATTTTTCCTCGTTCGTGAGAGATTTGTCGGCGTAAATTGTTTGTTGCCTAAATTCATGTCGCTTATCTATGTCAGTGTAAATTTTAAAATCAGTTATTGCGAATGCTCTATTGATTGTAGCGTCAATTAATTCTTTACGAATGAAAGTCATAATGAAATAAAAATATTCAAAAAAAGAAAGATAAACGGGATGCAAACTCCGGTTTAAATAGAATGTATGTAGTACACAGGTCGATCTTTGCACAAATGTGCATTATACTACTAAACTGCATTGAAAATGATTCATATGGAAATGTTAGTGAAATATTGCTTGAATGGCAATGTATATTTCTATAATAAACTTTACATAAAATGTTAATGATTAGTAAAGGTCAAGTATTTATCAGAGACAAGATAATTAATAGGGCTGCGCTTCGAATTATAATTCTGCTTCGAATCATTCATATTAAGTCATTTAAAATTCGAATTAAAATTTAAATTACAAAAAATCCGATGAAAACATTCGGATGACCGGGTTAATTCGAATTGCGAATGATACAATTTAATGTTAGTAAAAAATAAATAGATTTAAAAAAGTTTTTTTAAAAAAATAGTGTTTATTTGAATTTTCATGAACATTGAAATTTCATTAAAAAAAAAAATTCGTGACGATGCGAATTTCGTGACTGTAAGAATCTGCTTTAAAAAAGTTCGCTGAATCGTCAAATAGATCGGCGTTATATTAATTCGAGTTACGAACATAACGATAATAATAGCAAAACTCCCATTATGATCCGAATTAATATACGATTCGAATTACATTGGTTCGAATTAAAAACCTAATTATTAACAGTAAATAAGTTTAATTGAAGAATGGAGTTAATAAACAGTAAATAATCAAAAATTAAATGACATTGAGAAAATCTCCGGGTGCTCTTAACTCATGATCTATCAGTCAAATTTCCATGAAACTTAGAGTATCGTGTCTTTTTGAGAGAGAGCCACAATAGTCCAGAACGTTCTCTGATAGGCTGCCCTTATTAAAATTATATATACGATATTTCTCTTGAGGAATTAGCATTACACACACAATATATTCCTTCCCTTTTTCGCATTACGGTATTGTCATTTTTTATTTTTATATTTTATTTCTCCGATATTGTTGTTACTTTTTTTTGTCCGCGGTTTTAATTGATTAGCATTTAGTGATTAGCAGAACGCCGATGATGAAGCAACACTTGATAGATTAATTTTATTGCTCAATTAAAACCTTTTAAAATGCTTATATAAACGTAAAGAATTCATGCATCATTATCAAGCCGTGTTACTTTATCTTTTAAGTATGGTATGTATTTAGCTTTTTAGGCTGTTTATTGTATCATTTTTAACGTTTTGTTATTTCCCATTGTAGATCTGAAACTTAGGGGTTTAGTTGCATTTTTTAAAATTATTTCTTCCAACCTATATAAAAAATTTTTTGAGTTAACAGATAAAAATTTTACCAGAAGTCCCAGAAGTATGAGAGGTATTATTTTATATAATAATTTGTGAAGCATCAAAGTACAGTACAATTGATAAATCTTAGTGAAAGTCACGAAAGGGCACGCTTTTTCTCGTGACTTCCGAGATGTCCGATTGGTGAACAACTTATTTCGTGAATTCAGGTTTATAAACTGGGCTTTGGAAAGAAAAACGGTTAATAAATAGTTATTCGGATAGTTCACCGCCACGTATTTTTTAATTATATAAATAAAAAGATTCAATTATATATAATCTCAAAAAACATCCGAACATCAAATTAATCCGAAAATAAGAAAAAAAGGGAATTGAAATTTTTTTAAAAAAAAAAATAATCAATCAAAAAAAAACCCATGTTTACTAGATCTGGAGAAATAGCATACGGAACTGATATTGCAATTAACATCGATATTTGATAGAGATTATTTAATTGGAATATTTTTAATACCAGTTTGTTACATACATATTTATATAGAAAAATTTTAGCAATAAGCCTAAACGTTTCGTTCAAATTGGTATATTAATATAAAATATCGATATGTCAATATCGAGAATTGGAAGTATAGAAAAGAACACTCTAATTCGAATGGCAATCATTTTCAAAAGGAAAGTATCTAATAGTAAAAAAAAATTTTCTTTTGTAAGAATAGTTCAATTACTGAAAACGAAATTTAAATTAAATATTCAAAGATAGTTGGGCTTAAAATTCCATATCAGGAATGAAATAAATCTATGCGGCGCATAACCTTTTTTTTTTTTTACGAATAAAAAAATATTTAAATTCTGAACAAAAATTTCATTAGAACTTCCAATGGAGTAGACAGTATTAACGCAAAAAAATAATTAATTAACTTACCAAATATTTTTAAAAGTTTTTCCCATTTTTTCCATTTTTTAATTTCTTAACGTTAAAAATCGGCATTACGTTTAATTTCGTAATCATAATAAATCCATATTTAGTTTAAAATTTCATATGATGGTCGATCTTTGGTATAAATAAAGGAATAAATGGTTCACAAGAATTTATTTTCTTACTCGGCTATTTAAATTTATGGAGAAACTCAGTGACAAAATAATTGAGGAAATCAAAGATTTTGAATACGATAATTTAACAGATGAACAAGAATCATTAATCAATAGATTAATATTGAACGAGAATTTGAAAAAATGTTATAAAGAATACGGTTTATGCGAAGAATGTCAACAACCTAATACTGGTAGTGAATGGTGTCAGTCGTGCAAGGCGAAAAGTTTTGAGCAAAATTTCACAAATTGGGCCAGTGGAAATGATAACGTTGACAAATTCATTCAAAAATTACAACTCAAAGCGAAGAATAGCAATGAAGCGATAGAGTGGTTTGAATACGATACTTTTGAAGATATCGAATTTGTGGCTATAGGAGGATTTGGAACCATTTATAAAGCAAAGCGGGAAAGGAGCTCTGTTGCTTTAAAATCCTTGCATAATTCACAAGATATTACGGCCCAATTTTTAAATGAAGTAAGTTAATTTTTTTTATTTTTTTATTCTATGAATTTTATATCAATAAACTTCTTTATATTCATTATCACAAATACAATTTTATTTTTATTTTTATTTTTTTTTTAGATTGAACCACTCATTATAATCAATGATATGGTTAACGTTGTTCAATTCTATGGTATGACCAAAGATCCAAATACGAACAATTTCATGATGGTAATGGATTATGTAGAAGATGGTAATTTAAGACAATATTTAGATAAAAATTTTAAAATCATGAATTGGGTGAACAAGCTGTACATTTTAAAAAAAATTGCAAAAGTTCTCAAGAATATTCATAATAGTGGATTAATTCACAATAACCTTCATTGCGGCAACCTACTAAACAATATAAACGAAACAAAAAATATGCCCATCATCACTGATTTGGGAATTTACCAACCAGCAAATCAAAAGCTTGCAGGGAATGACAAAAAGCAAGTATATGGGGTGTTACCTTACGTGGCTCCCGAAGCTTTAAAAGGGAAAGAGCGTACACAAGCAAGTGATATTTATAGTTTTGGAATTATAGCGTACGAAATAACTACCGGATTACCTCCGTATTTTGATTGTGCTCATGAAGAACTCTTGGCCACGAGAATCTGTCAAGGGTTGAGACCAAAGTCTCAATATAAAGTTCCACATAAGATTATGGACATCATTAAACAATGTTTGGATGCAGATCCTTTAAAACGTCCTAATTCATTAAAGTTATATAAAAATATAATGGAATTATATCTAGACCTTGATGATAAAAATTCAGTATTCAATAAGCAATCTAAAGAAGCAGATGAATCCAATAAAAAATTATCAGCTATATCATCCACCGAGGATCATCCTATGTATAAAGCACATCCCCAAGCAGTTTATATAAGCAGGCCTTTGAATTTTAATAAACTTCCAGAAACGAAAAACGCTAATAATGTAGAGTTCGAAGCGGGATATTCTGGTGAGCTTTTAATGAATAAATTCTATAATATTTAAAATAAAAGATGAGGATTTTTGTTAATTCAACGTTTATTTTTACAGAAAAGGGAAAGGTTAATGTTACAAATGCCAGTTCTAACCCGAGATTTTCATCGCCAGTATCATCATCACCAAGGATACGAACCGAATCTAATCCGCAACAGACAAATATTAAAGATCATGAAAATTGGGTGGCTAAACAGCAAGAAAGAATAAGCATTCTTCAAAAAAATGTGGAATTGCAAAAACATTTACGTGAATTATCATTGAATAATGATGATCATGAAAAATGGATGGAACAACAACAACAAAGAATCGACATTTATCAACGACAAATTGAGTTCCAAAAACAGCTGAATGAATTATATTTGGCTATTCCACAGCTGACAAATGATGAAGAATATGAAAAATGGATGGAGCGACAGCAAGAAAGAATAAGGGTTCTTAAAGAACAAGTGGAATTGCAACAACAGTTGTATGATTTATCTAATGCTAATATGAATTATTATTAAAGAAACAAGAATGATGAATTCATTAGAACTTTAATTTAACATTTTAAATTTTTTTCTTTCTTATTATTTATATATATATGTATATTTAACTTTATACAAGAATAAATTGTTTCAAATTTTATTAATTACTTGGTATTATTCTCTACTTCTTTCTCATGCCAATAATAACATTATATAGATATATGTATATTCCTTTTCATCTAGCCCATATTCATTATCGGCTGCTTTTCGATAAATATACAAGGTCTTTTTCCTTTTCATATAAAGATTTATGGTTAATTGCAAGTATTAAAGCTATAGAGATGATAAGCTTAATATCACTTGAACAGCGAATCTTTATATTATTCGTTGTTATAGACTTTATAATCTATTTCATTCGAATTAATATTAATTGTCATCCATGCCTTTTCCATAAAGGATCAAATAATCTCAACCAACATATGGAAGTTAATCCCAATCGGTCCATCATCTTTAATTTTCATCACAAGTATCATCACAGGCTCCATGGATTAAAAAACCTCAACTCCATCATCATTGACTTGGAGTAAGCCGAAAATAAAAAGAGAGTCATCGTTTTCATTCATTCATATAAGGCGAATAGGAAGAGGTAACCGATGATCCATCCAAGATTTTAGTGATGCGATCATATTATCCGCCCTGCTTAAATCAAATAATAAATTAATCAAAACTAAACAAACTTACCTTATATACTTCGCCAATTCATCGTTCAAACAGTCCTTTGGGATCCACTATCTTTTCAATCAAAATTATCATGTGGGGATATGGCTAATCCTTCAGTCAGAAATATCTTGCTTCTGAGGAATACTTTTTTTTTGCCTATAAACAGACTGGATTTTGACATGATAGTAGGTAATTATTCTTTGATTCCTTGCTTTACAAGTCTTTATACATTTTAAGGTAATTAAAAATGAATATAATATAAATTCAAATATTTGCTATTAGTAACGTTAGATCCTGTCAATTATTCTGCTATGATTGGAAACATGGCAGTTTTTTCGATTTGAATGATAATTTTATTGACGCTAAGAAGATTAGAGACAACATCAATGTAAAGATTGAAAGAATTAACGAAATGGTGAAGATATGTCGATTCTCATCCCAACTCTTATGACTTTCAAAAATACAATAATTAATTATATGAGAACTAATCAATCAATCGTGCGGAATCTTATATTAAACTTTGGAAATATATATAATTATGAGTTACAATATGATATTAGGGTTTATTGTTTAGAAAATCAAAGACAACAAGCAATAAATGTTAGATAAAAGGGTGGTTGGTATAATCGTAGGTTATTAAAAAAAACAGTGAGAAATCGGCGTGTAAGGAAATATTCAGCATTCTTTAGTTATGATAACCGCAATTCATTTTCTCGATATTCTCTTATAGTGACTTTCACATTTCTTTCAATATATATTATAAAGTTTTAGTTTATTCATTGTTGAGCATTTTCGCTTAGGCAATCGTCAGTTACGGGAAATCTTATTGGTTTAGAATTTTTACATGTTTATTGTTCTTGTATATGGTTGGCCGGTCATTGTTGGGGAAAATCATAGTCGTATTTCCAATTTTTTGTTCTCCTTCATTGGCAGAATTACGTCTACTGATTCCTTCAAAATGTTAAAAAGCTATGTGATTCGCTTTTAATAATCAAGTGGAATATTGCTTACCAACTGTTCTTGATTCAGTAACATTCCTAACTGTTCCAGAAGTAATGCCATTTTTATGTGCTTCGTTTTTCAAATATTATAAGTATGCTAAAAAGTTAATGAGATTATAAAATACCTAAAATTTCATCAACCTCTTTAACGTTCTATGCGGTTAGATTAATAGATCTTTTGGTTATATCTCAAAAATACTTTTAATACCGGCTCATGTATAATTCTAAAGCCCTACTGTCGTATAGATATAAGTTTATCTGAAGTTTTTCGCGTTAAAAATATAAATGTCATTAATTATATATGACTTTGTGTGACTTAAATGTGTCATCAAATTAACTTACTTCAGATTCTCTTTAAGAGCTACCAATTCCAAATTAACAGCCCGATTTTCATGTTTCATAACAAAATGATGACGAAACTTCTGGATTAAAAAGTGATCGTTTCTGAACTAGACATGTTCCAGTTATAAGATGGCACTCAGTAAGTGATATATACTATAATATAATTGAAAAAGGTTTACGGAAACTTTGTCACCATCAAGCGGACTCATAAATTTTCAATGGATCAAAAGCAATCAAAGGACTGGTACGAACTGTTGAAGATGTAAATTTGGCCTTAAAGAATTAATTTTATGCTTTAGCAAAATGTTATTAAACAGGGAGTCCACATCATTTTCAGTTTTTGATGATATAACTATAAAAAAAAAAAACTACACAAAGCATAAAATGGTGAAGAAGCGATGAATGTGCGTAGAACATACCGCCTCTCAACGCTCTAAAGAACTTTTACCAGTCTTTGTATTACTTTATTTATTAAGTTTTTATTATTTATATATGCTAAAAGATATAATTAATCTAAATCTATTTGTTTTGATAATTATTGCATATTTGTACCGAACTTTTATTCATTATATATGGCGCTACGCTATATATAATATAAGATATTATTCAAAAATTAAAATTAACATGCGTTCGTAAAAATCAGCGTAAATCAATTTTGATCAATGAATCGTCATCGTTGCGATGGTGACATCCAAATTTATGCATAATACGCATACGTAAAATCACATTTAGCAAAATCAAAGTTCCCTATTTACTGTAATTCTTTAGTAGTTTATATAATACCTCTGAATTTGGAATACTCTTTAGTTGAGAAATTTCTCTAGTGAAATTACAAAAACTTTGTCAATAATATCAAAGAAATTTCGTAAAATTAATAATTTTTTCTTGAAAAAACTCATATCCAACTTTAGGATTAATCAATCCCTTAAGGTTATATCTGCATCTTTGACTTTATCTAAAACGTCTTACATATTTTTTTTTTTTATTGAGTTGGTTTAAATCATTTAGAAGTTGTAAAAAAATTATTTGCAAATCGATTGTTTAGTTCGTCAGATACACCGCAAAGAAGTTTTTTTTTTTTTTTTTTTTTTTTTTTTTTTTTTTTTAATAAAAGTCTAATTATTAATTTGGAATTACTAGTATATAATTATAATTGTACATTGCCTGCAAATTCGGAATTCATGACACTAATTTATTAAAGAATTATCCAATTCTATGGATCCTTTTGCATTTTACGATATATTAGCATGACATTCACAAAGGTTATACCACTTTAAACTGCACTTCGCATTATAATAAAGTTATACTTACTGTATGAGAATCAAGTCAAAATCATGGATTTTGTCATGCTTGATAATATTATTTAAATAATTGAAGCCTCATGTTTTTTTTAAAGCATAAAAAGATTCATGAGAAAGCGATTAAATATAGAAAGCCGGGTAGCAATATTGTCGCTATAGGTAAAAAATTAAATAATAATAGGAAAGTTTTATGTGGATTTGAAATAAACGGAATATGATGAAGATAATATGACGTTTATAAACTTTACATTTGGCTGTCGTCAGGACAACACAGAAACCAGTTCACGGTACCTTGACAATTCCCATGACAAGTTGATAAACGTATTCAATTTCCGACGATAAAAATTAATTGGAATATCAGAAGCGTTAACTAGTCGGTATACCACACCACATTTTCGAACAAATATTTTGTCGAGATAGGTTTCTGAGATGATCTCAGCCTGTGACAGTGAATAGAGTTAATCGGTCTGGTATTTTGAGCTTGTCAGCTGGTATTCTTACGAGAACTATTATCACGAATAGTAGGAGATTGATACGTGAAAAAAAGCACAAGTTAGTAAAACTCAAACAATATACCAAGCGTCCATCAAATGGATAAAATAAATTTGCATGTCTGATGCTTGAATTAGATTCAACAAATATCATTAGGACATTTGAAAGCTGACAACGAAGGTAACGTTAATGGAATTTATAAACAATTTAAATGTAAGCAGAAGGTTTTTATTGAATAAAAATGAAGTAACGTTGACGTTATATTTATTTAATTAATCAGTATAGCTGTAACGCCTACGTTCTACACTTTTGCAATGTCAATATATTAAACTAAATAATGCAATCACTAAAATTCTATTTAATGAAACTGCGCAATTACGAAAATTGTGTAAATAAAATCATAAGAAAAATGGAAATTAAAAAATAAACGGTATTACAAATATGAAATTATAATATTAAAACTGCGAAAGCGAAATGTATATATGCAAATATAAGAAGGGCGAGCGTGGAATGCTAAGTTGTTTAAGGATTTCCAGCTCGTATTTATAAAAAAAAAAAAATAAAGCCTGGCATCCTAACAACCCTGTCAAAATGATCTACAATAGACTAACTGCAAATATCGAAAACAATTTACATACGAAATTATGGTGTTTCTGGGCGGAGCTATATTTAATATCAATCTTCAAACTAAAGTGTGGAAATTTTATTTGGTTCATTGAATATTCAAATAAAAATAAAGTGTTTTGGTATTTAGATGGATTATTAGGGGAACTTGGATTATGAACAAGAAAATTAGTTACTAATTTATCTCTATGATGATTTTTAGTTAATAGTGAATTAATAGGAAAATGGTAAATTATTATAAAATAATGATTTATTATATTTACTACAAATTTCTTTTATTAGTTATATTGAGCAGCTCATTAGTGAAATGAACTCCTTAGAAATATGTTTATTGTAAAAATTAGATTGTGATTTATGGATAAGGCTGCAAAAAAAGAATGTAATTTGTCTTGTAAATATAAGTATTCTTTTAATAATAAAAAAACTTATTTATATGCATTATATAATATATAATATTATCTATCTTATTTTATAAGGATTTATTGCATATAATTAAGATAGCTATATAAAAGAAAGATTTAAAAATTTGATAGTTCAACTATAATATAAATACTTAATAGTAAAAAAGAAGAAAACTATGGTGGCTGTCACCTATAAATCTCACAAAAATCATATGACTTTAAAAATTTATAAATTAAAAATAAAGCAATGATTTGAAAAATTTAACTAATAAAATTAAGTAATAGTATATGCTAAACATTTTTACTGGTTTATTTTTTTAAAATATTACATAAATTTTGGAGTT